CACCCACCCCACCTAAAAAATGAACCTGGCGCTGGTGCTTTCAGCATGACAATGATCCCAAGCACACCACCAGGGCAACGAAGGAGTGGAAGCATTTCAAGGTCCTGGAGTGGCCTGGCCAGTCTCCAGATCTCAACCCCACAGAAAACCTTTGGAGGGAGTTGAAAGTCTGTGTTGGCCAGAGACAGCCCCAAAACATCACTGCTCTAGAGGAAATCTGCATGGAGGAATAAGCAACAGTGTGTGCCAACCTTGTGACCTACAGAAAATGTCTGTCATTGCCAACAAAGTATATACAGTATAACAAAGTATTGAGATTAACTTTTGTTAATCGACCAAATACTTATTTTCCACCATAATTTGCAAATAAATTTGTGTAAAAAAACAAACAAATAAAACAGACAATGTAATATTCTAGATATGTTTACTCATTTTGTCTCTCATAGTTGAAGTCTAATGATGTCAATTACAGGCCTCTCTCATCTTTTTAAGTGAGAGAACTTAAACAATTGCTGGCTGACTAAATAATGAACTTTTATGTTGTGTCATTTGCCTGTGCTCATCAGCCTTAAAAGAGCTCATAAAAATACTTTTTTTCAAATAATGTAAACATTAAAAAAGGGAACTTTGTGCCTGTTACAGCCTTGAAATTTAAGATTTCTTGATCTGAGAGAAACCTTTGTATTTTTAATTAATTTACTCATTTATGTCACAGAAAATTATAGGTTTAATAATTTTAAAATTTGTCAAACAAGGTTTGTTAAACCTAAACAGCCAAGGAAAAACCTGTAACATGATAGTTAAGATTGAGGTGTGGGTCTCTTTACCTTCCTCTGCATTTTTAAGCCACTCAACAAATTTCTTCATTTGCTCAAGGAAAACACTCTTCCCTTTGGCAAGGTGAGCTTCAGTGTACCACTTCAATATGGCTTCTTCGCTCAAAACATCAGCTGTTCCAACAACAAAAGGACAAGTGTCAAAGTTTATTACACTCAACCTTGAAGTGCATACTGCTTGCTGTCATAATCAAAGTTAAGCTTGTCTGCTTTAAAACAGACCTATTAACCTATAATAACTATGGCAATAGTTAGATGACCTGGTAAAACACAAGGGCAGGTTCACCTTTGTAGAGGAGCACCACAATCTTCTGAAAGGCCTTCATGAAGTGGATATTGTCATAGCAGTATTCCTGGATCTTCAGCAGAAGGCTGAGCTCCGACAGACCCTGGGAGGTGAAGGCTTTCAGCAGGGGGCTGTATTGCTGTGAAAAAACAAGTCATGTTACAGTCCAATAAAATCATGCTTTAAACTTTATTATTAGCATAGCTAAATGGGTGGTATTATGCATTTTCCCAGAAACATGGTTGAATTCTATACCACGCCAACTACGTTACCTTTAGTTGTTCTGAAAAAGCTGTAAACATCCAAAATATCTTTGACATGATTTAAATGCCTTGAAATTGGCCCCACATCTCTAACCCTCCTATTATGTTGTGGGTCAAATTGACCCATTTTTTTTGATCAAGGTCTTTTTATAAAAAATTTTTAAACAACCACAAAAAAGAACAGACTTACAAAAACACAAAACAAAACACACACACCCAAAATCCCTCCCATCCCTCCCCTCCTATACCG